CATTATCCAGTGGGAAAAGAAGAGCAAGAAAGGGAAAGAAAGCTCTGAAAGTCGTAGGATACAATGTTAACAATGGTTATATCTGAGTGTGGAGATTATAGGTGAGTTGAGTTCCTCTTCCTCCACAGTGACCTGCCTTTTCTAAGTTTTCCACAATGGCATATTAGATATCAATTATGTGACAAAAACATAATAAAATCCTTAGATGATACTGAGTTCCCACAGTTTTGGCAAAATCCTAGGATACAATTCCCAACAGGATCTGGAGTGTGATGTTTATGTATCTCACTGCAGCTGCTTAGAACCCCTTTTTTTGATGGTTTCATGACTATTTTAAATTGAGGATGAGAATCAGGTTTCTTGGAGTTTCCGTTCTCCATCTTCCCAGCTATCTCCAGTAGAAAACCTAAGAGAAGCAATTTTATCTCTCTCTTTAACATTGTTTCCCTTCTCCTCCTTTATGCAACTTTTATTGTTTTATTATTTTATTTAACTTGGATTTCATAAATATTTGCATGTGGATATGATTTTTTTTTAATTGCAGTGTATTTTTTTCCCACAAGTTCTAATTCAAAAGTGTGTGACTGTAAGTGCATTTTGCAAAATAACTCCCAGTTTAAATGTTGTTATGCTTTGCTTCTTAAAGATTTAAGTTTAATCCTTTTTCCTTAGAAAGCATCACAAAGGACATGCACTGTGGCTGGAGGAAAATCAATGTCTTTTTAAAGGGATACCGTATATGTTAAAAAGTAAATTGACCTCTTTTCATGGCTTTGTCAATTTCATGCCACTTTTGTCCAATTCTATTTGGTGAAATAATTTTAGTACCTATTGAGCTCCTCTGTGAAAACTATTTCAGTGGTTACTAATGATTCATTAGCCAACATTTCAACAGGGCTATCCTTGAATTTGTAGCAACATTAAGAATTGTGTTTGTTCCAACACATCTGTTATACTAGTCAGCTTTTAGTCCTCAATTATGGGAATCTCAGAAACCATTTGACTGGGTTTAGGTTATCTATGAATTTTCATAATATTTTATGGCCACCGGCTGCATTTTTATGGCTATATATTAAATGTTTTATTTTTTCAAATAACTTTTCCAAATGGTCTCAGTTTCCCATCCAAGGGAAGTCAGGCATATGCCCAAACATCTACTGTTCAGCAAGTTATCACGGGTGCAAAACCCCAAATAAACAGAAAAGATGCAAAATAAAATCCTTTTTTTAAAAAGATAAATACTAGTATGCTCAAAATCCACACACCTGACCTCTCACTTTAGCTCTTCTTGGTTAACATGACTTCAGCTTTTAATTGGAACCTTTTTCATAATTGTTGCCATTTAACACACTTAGTCTGTCAAATCATGGGATATCTTTATAGCCATATAATAAACCCTAGAGAACAACTTCTCTGACTATAGCCATCTGCAGTGATCACAAGAGTAGCTTACAAAATACTGACAGTCTTTATGGTAATAGGATACATATGGCAGCCCACAATTATGTGTAGCTGCATTCAATTAGTGTTGTACAATTACACAGTTTTATTGCTTAGTTAAAACAGTGAAAGCACTACATACTTGGTAATTTGCACTAATCCTCATCTCTTTAATAGTCCCTCAGTGTTTAAGATGTGGGGGAACATCTATAGTATTTAAAGGACCTGGGCTGAACATTGTATCTCATGTTGTGAGCACTCCTTGACTGACAATTGTTGTACTCCCACTTTACGTGTGGGTCATGTTTTATAGAGGCTTTAAAACACAGTTATAGCAAGAAGTTCCTCTGACACCAGAACCCCACTTGCTGAATCAGGTTGTCCAAGTCTATACTTGCAGCCTGCTAATGTCCTTTCTGAAAGATGGTCAAGATGAGCAGGCATACTGAGGAACAGAATGACTCTGAGAGTACAGTAAGCCAAGGACTCCGCCTTTAAGATAAGAACTGGTGAGAAGCTTTTCTGATTTCTAACTTTCAATTAAAAACTTGATTCAAAGTGAATTTACAGCCACCATTTGGGAAAATATAGAGATGGTTTTGCAAGGATGTGTGTGCGCACACATGCATGCTTGTGCACCAGTGTGTGCATGCACTCTTGAAACAGATGTTTTGAGCAATCTGTGATGTATAACAAAGTTTTAATGGTATTTGCAAATGGCCTCTCTCATGCCCCTCTGAAACTGGCTCAGGAAGAGATGAGGGTGAACAGACTCAGGTTGCAGCAGGCACTTATGGTGAGGGCCAGGGTGAGAGAACTCATTATGCCATTTCAGAAAGGGACTCTCCCATTGGAGGAGAAGAAACGCTGGAATAAATACTTCTCCATCATTCTCCCAAAGTGTTGACAGAGAAAGCCCCAAAAGTAACCTTGTTTCCTGCCCTGCCTGACAATAAGTTAAACAGAATTCTAAAACCAGAGGACTGGACATTTATTCACCTGCAAAAATATTTTGTTGACACATTTCTAATGTACTTCAGTCTTGCAATGTTTTCAATTACATGGAATAGGTCTTTGTCTGTAAGCTCTTTTTGTCTCTCCTAAATATCAGTCCAATCTCTTAATGTTCATGAATGTTCTAAGCAAAACAAAACAAAACAAAAAAAAACAGGAGGGGGAATTGGATAAGTGACTAAAGAAGGAGAAAACAGAACATTAAAATTATAAATTCAATATACTTCATTTAAATGACTTTGGTGTTTTAGAAATATTACTACTTTTAGGTTTTCCTTGCTTTCCTCATCTATGTAGCTTTTTAATGTATACTTTTTCTTTTGCTTGTTATGCTGGGCTGGGATTGAACACAGGGCCTTGAGTTTTTCTCAGTTATGAGAAGTTTGGACTTTATTGCTCATCTATATAAAATATAATTAATATATGGCCATATGTTACATGGAATTCCTGATAAAATATAGGTTCAAAAATAAAACCCTTGCTCCATGTGAGAGAATTACATGGTCATATTCAGAACTTTAATGGGATTTAATGATTGGATTCCCCAACATCTGGTTTTATCTAACTTTTGAATAAATTAGGTGATATAGACACTTTTTTTTTTAAATCTACAGAACTCCTGCATAAATGGGGTTGAATAGATCAAAATCTGTACCATCTCCCAAAGCACACATCATGAATGTTTGGACCTAGCAGAACATTAAAGCAAGAGGTTATTTTGCATTTTAGAAAGATTACTAGTAACAAAAGGGAACTAAGGAAGTAAACAATTCTACAGGGGAAGTAAACTAGACAGATGCTCTGGTAGATGTTTCCATCTCATATTTCTTTTCATGAAAAACATTTGGTTGTTGTTTAGATGACCAGAATGTCCAGCACAATGGGACTACAATTTAGGGGTTTCTTTGTCCTGAGAACATTTAGGCTGAGGACAATACTGTGTTTTGCAGTTCTGATGCCTCCAAGTCCTAACTCAGACTTGTTTAAGGTGACCAGGGCTGCACAGCTGCTTCATTAAGTGTCCATCCCACCAGACTTATTAAAGACATGGCTGTCTTTCCCCTAACACCCGAGCAGGTGATCCCCCACTCTTTGGATGCCTGCACCAGGGCAGCCCAAACTAGATAGTGATCCAGAGCTCTGGGGGAAAAGACTCCATGTTCTGAACGTGAACAGATATAAAAGAATAATTTCTACCCAGCCTCTCTAGAGAGAAGAATCTGACCACTGCTGCTGCCAAAATAGTTGGATGCAAATGGTCATTGCTGATTCTGCAGCTTAGCTGGCCAAACATCTGCACTTTGTGCTATAGTGGAATGCAAAGTGAATCAAGTTTTTCCAAAGGATGGAGGATATGCATGTGAACAGTAGCAGCACTCCTGATGTGTGGAGATATGTCTTGCTGTGCAGGAGGTGCAGACTGCTTCAGCATGTACCAGATGATCATAGAGTGATAACAGAAGAACATGCGAGCCTCGACTTACTGCATGAATTATTTTGATGTATGAGGAAAATTTCATTTCCTTGAGGCATCTCTGAAAGATTGCCCTTGCTAGAAATACCAGAAATGTACTGCGGTTTTCTTTTCTTTATCCTGTTGATTCCAGAGGGCACTGAGTTAAGAGTTCTGAATGCCCTTTGATCCTTTCTTTCTAATCAATGAAGTTGTTTGGGATACTTTTTAGAGCATATCCTTTTGGTTTGATCACAGACTAGAATTAAAGCATATAAATACTTGCCTACAGTCATAGGCATCCTTTTTTTTGATTTGTTGGGTGAAAGACTAGAAACTTTTACTGCCTTAATAAGGAAACCTGGACAGAATGCTGACTCTGCACCTGATAAATCTTTCCAAATTGCCACAGGTAAAATGAAATGTTAATATCCCTCTCAATTATTAATAAAAAATGTAAATAGATCTTGCCGGAAATGTAGGGCACTGAAAATAAAGTATTTTAATATGCGTGTAGTTTTTTTGTGTAGTTACTTAAAAAAGGCATATTTAAAGCTTCTCATATATTGGGATGAAGAAGTAATTATTTTCATAAAATAAAGCACAAGAGACTTTCTATGCCTCATTTTACTATTCAAATCAACTTTAATTGTAGAAAGCATTAAATACAGGTAAGAAGAAGAAAAAGATCTTTATAATCCTACCACCCAGAAACAGACACACAAAACTGTGTTCTTTCAGACTTCTTTTCTATATTGTTTTATTTTTTGATTTAATAGACATTTTATACAAACCAGTCTGAAATCTTACATCCTTACCTCCCAAACATAATTTATTACAATGAGTATAACCTCATATCACCATTTTAAAGGCCACGTACATCCCATTGTGTGAATGTACCATTGTTTACTTAGCGAATTTCCATTGGCTGTATTTCCAACTTTGTAGTCATCTAAACAAAAATATTGTGCATAATTGCCTGATTTCTTAATATTATGTACATTAAATTTAAACCATATTGTCCCTTGTTTTATCAACAAAAAGCCCTTGAGCTCTTAGTTTTAAGGTGATTGTGTTTTTACTTTTATTTTAGGTATATGAGCACCAAGATGGCAGCAAATCCCTGAAGCTGGGTGACTTTGGATTGGCCACCATTGTAGATGGCCCCCTATACACAGTCTGTGGCACCCCAACATATGTGGCTCCTGAAATAATTGCAGAGACTGGGTAAATGCTTCTTCTGTGTTTTAGTTCTATGCTTACAAAAGAACTGGGCTACCTTGATGATAAGAAACATAGTACTACTCTGGCCCATCCAGACAGAATCAGCCCTCAGGTTTGTTTTTTTTTTTTTTTTTAACTTTTATAGTAGGAGCTATTTTCTATGCTTTCCCAATCAAGTTACCAATTACTGCAATCTTGTTTAAAGCTACCATTTGGGCTTTGTTAAAGGTAGAATGGAAGTTATTAACCCCAGAGTAAAAAATGTTCAGACTAACAGAGAAAGGTACAGTGATGGTAATTAACTTGCTTTTGGAGGAAAAAAGACACTGTTGTGTGGTGATTACACTCTCCTGTGGTTATTTCTCTCAGCCACCTTTATACATTTCTGGTCCTGTTTTGGTCCTTTTGGAAATCCATTGATTTCCTGTGGAGTAAACACCCTTAGGCATCAGAGGACCATTGAGAATTTGCTGGTTTCTTTATACAGAATCAGGGGAATGAAAATCTCTACACTAAAATGGGGAAAGAAAGTGAAATAACTTATTACTATTAAGAACCTAATATATGCCAGCCCTTAAACTCATTTACTTAATTCTTGTTCTTCTGGTGAATAGTAAGAACTATTCCCATTTTGCACAGAGATCCACTGAGACTCATCTCTGAGGGCTTAAGTGTCCTGTAAGCTCATGACCTCTTAGAGACTAAGTCAGTATTTGAACTCAGGTTAGCCTGAAAGAAAAGCTTTTTCAGCTAAGAACCCATTTCTTACCAACAGCCATAGTCAGAGCCATGAGGTGCTGAAGTTGATCTGAAATTGGGAGGGACAGCCCCATTTTCTTTCATTAGCAATTTCAGTCCACACTTGGGAATCCAGGTAGTGTCATCCACTGTGACCACTTGAAGATGATTTTTCTACTTGTACCATAGAATCAGTGGGCAGAAAGACAAAAAAGGTGAGAAGGAAACCCCAATAGGGAAACTCCTAGGATGAGATATGAGAGAATGGGGACTTCTTTTATTTGTCAGAGTTGAGTGATTTTGGAAGCCACATCTGTACCTTACCTGACCTCCCTCAGAAAGGCTGCCACTGACATAGCTACATCTGCTACTGGAACATATTCTGACAGTCTGCTGGGAGGGTTGAGGAGTTGTGGGAAGAGAATTTGGTTGGGCCCTGAAGACCTTGAAGACAGTCCATTTCTGTTACTAATGGTGCTATCTTGAGCAACAGGTTCACCCTCTGAACCTGCTTTATCTTCTATAAAATAGGTAATATTTGTCCTATCTAACCCACAAAGTCATTGGGAAAACTAAATAGGATAATATATGTTAGCTCTTCATAAGCTGGAGAATGTTCTTCAAATAATTATGATTACTAAAATTAGAGAGTTAGGTCCATTTCTATCTCAAAATTGGTATGATTATAATAAACCTTTTTGCTGACACCATTCACTTATTGATATTTGGATATGAGCCTACGAGGCACGCATTGCTCTGATTTTTAAAAAATATTTATTTTTTAGTTATAGTTACATCGATGCCTTTATTTTATTTATTTGTTTTTATGTGGTGCTGAGGATCGAACCCAGGGCCTCGCATGTGCTAGGCGATCGCTCTACCACTGAGCCACCCCAGCCCCTCATTTTTATTCATATGCCTTAGATAGTCTTTTTGATTTTTTTATACTTACTTCCTTGAACTCTGTTTAGCTGGTGGGCTTTGGTTTACTGTTTGTCATCGGGTTTTTTTATTTTGTTCAGTCTCCTTTATGGTGTGGAATAGAAGAGTCATCTATTTAAGCATGCCCCATAATTTGTCCTGGCCTGACTTTGCTAACTCTAACATCACTTATTTTTCCAGATATGGCCTCAAGGTGGACATCTGGGCAGCTGGTGTAATCACTTACATCCTGCTGTGTGGTTTCCCTCCATTTCGTGGGTATGGGCAGCAATTTTTATTCAGCACCAACAGAGTATTTCTCTATTCTCTGAATGATCCATTTGCCTTTCTTGAACAAAGGGGCCTGAAGCAGGAAAAGAACATAATAACTTCACTTGAAATGCCTGTTGTTTTTTCCATATTGTGCATGCTAATTTATATACCTTCCATAAATCTTCCTCATATAATTTAAAAACTCATTCTTTTTTAATTTACCCAAACAGTTGCATATTGACGTTTTCGATTGCTTTAAGAACACACATTTTACACATTTATGGGGAAAGGAAGGGCTCAGTGCATAAAAAAATGATGAAACATGCCCTGAGTTGACCTTTTAGTGCTATTTTCTCCTTGTTGTTGTTCATCTAAACAGAAGTGGTGATGACCAGGAGGTGCTTTTTGATCAGATCTTGATGGGGCAAGTGGACTTTCCTTCTCCGTACTGGGATAATGTTTCTGATTCTGCAAAGGTAGGTTGCCAGTGCCTGCCTCTTCCTTTCAGCCTAGAGAAATTATTGATTCCAAATCATTGTGCACAAAGAGACTAATGATATCATAAATGTGATTTGTATACCTTTTAGTTGTAATTACTCGGTTTTCTAAGATTTCACAGACATCCAACCATCAGTTCTTGGCCATCCTAACAAGCACTTACCAAGTGACTCTACTTTGTTGTCACTCCAGTGACATTGTGAAAACCTCTTTCTGTGCTCCCTTCTCACCAGACTTGAGCCCAGCTCATATTTCTGCATGGCACATTGCTACACCCTTCTCAGGTCTTATCATCTCCTCAGTGAAGCCTTCCCAGACCACCCCACCTCCCATTGCAGCTCTTAAGCCTTACCTGGCTTGCCTGATCCTCCTTATCTGCTTTATTTTTCTCTATAAAATGTAAACTCTTATGTCCACCTGGTATACCATGTAACCACCTATCTTACCTACATAGGTAAATAGACATATATAGATGGGAGGATATGTTCTATTCATGTCGTTTATTTCCACACTCTCCCTAATACGATGCAAATTCTGTGAAGGCAAGGATTTTTATCCATTTTATTCATTGTAGTATCATCAGTGCCTAAATCATAACTGGTACCTAATTAGTGATCAATATGTATTCAACAAATTAATAATGTATGGGTAAGTGAATCAAGCAATTAACCAATCAAAGGGAAGAAAGCTCATCCTCAACATAGGTTGAAATGATCAACAAAGAATTTATGGAGAAGCTATGTTTGTTTAGAGGCAGGGAATCCAACATATGATGTTTATCCCACTGAACTAATAGTGGTGATGGTTGCACAATAATGGGAATATACTGAGTGCCACTGAAATGTTCACTCAAAAGTGGATGAACGCTAAATTTTATGTATGTTTTAACACACTTTTAAAATAATACAGATCAGCATCTAAAAGACTATGAAATTCTTACATTGGCATATTAGTAGACTTTGGAAAGGAAGCAAAACCTTGTAATTGATCTCTTTTAAATTTGTGTAGATTAAATATCCCTAATTTGAAAATCCAAAATGCTTCAAAATCTGAACTTTTTGAGCACCAACATGTTCTCCTAAGTGGAAAATTCCACACCTGACCTCCTATGATGGATTGCAGTCATAACATAGGTGCACTAAAGGTATTGTGTAAAATTATCTTGAAGCTATATATATGTATAAGGTGCATATGAAACAATGAATTTTGTATTTAAATTTGGGTTTCATTCCCAAAATATCTCTTTATGTAATGCAAATATTCTAAAATTAAATTAAAAAGAAAACAATTTTAAATCTGAAGCATTCTAGTCCCAAGATTTTTGAATAAGGGATACTCAACCTGTATCATGTTACAAGCATTGACTTACATTTTTGAAAATTTGATGTTGAAAATAATCATCTTTTGGTTGTTCAATGGGTTTGACTTTCCTTTTGCTATATCCTGAGTGTAAGTACAAATTAAAACTGAATCCCTTAGATCTAACCCCTTTGCATAGGAAATGATGCATATTGGGCACAAGTCTCTCATTTGCTTCAACTGTCCAAGAATCCACCTCTGGAATTAGGGAAATGTAGGGAAATAAGAGAAATGTCAGAAGAAAGGCCAGAGGTAAAAGGAACTAGGGTGGTGTTGGGGTAGGGTTGGAGCACTGTCACCTGTAAGCAGGTTTTTCAGGAATCTGCCCAACTCTTAATGCTCTAACTCTATACCTGCGAGCTTACAGTTACTGATAATTGGGACCGTCTCCTTTATCCCCACAGCACCTGGCAGAGAGCACTACGCACAGTCACAGCTTTAAAAAGTCTTGATCCAAGCTAGAAAGTGAATGGAAAGCTTGGTAGAAAGCTAAGGTAGATTCCACATCAATGGAAATCAGTCATTCCCATTCCATGTGGTACTAAGAGCCGGTGTACATAAGAAACCAGATAATGCCTATCTAACCATTTTTTTATGTGGAACTTCTAAAAGTGGACAGATGTTTGACAAATTGACCAGACAGAGCTGTGCCATCCTGGTCCAAATCACTTTGAGCTCATAGGGAAGGTCCAAATCACTTTGAGCTCATAGGAAAATTTCATTTCAGAATCTTCAAGCCACTTACCTTTTAATAGTTCCACTTTCTTTGCATTTATAAGTCTGGAAATTTTTGAAGCAACTTTAACACATTTCCTTAGAATCATTTGGCTACTAAAGGATAATTCTCTTGGGCTAGGGATGTAACTCAGTGGTAGAGCACATGTTTAATGTACATGAGCCCCTGGGTACAGTCCGTAGCACCAACCCCCTAAAAGTTCTTTCTATTTTACCAACTAGCTATTGGAATTTCTACATCTTTTTTCATTCCTTTCTTTCTTTTTTTTATCATCTTTTTTTTATTGGTTGTTCACAACATTACAAAGCTCTTGACATATCATATTTCATACATTAGATTGAAGTGGGTTATGAACTCCCAATTTTACCCCAAATGCAGATTGCAGAATCACGTCGGTTACACATCCACAATTTTACATAATGCCCAATTAGTAATTGTTGTATTCTGCTACCTTTCCTATCCCCTACTATCCCCCTCCCTTCCCCTCCCATCTTCTCTCTCTACCCCATCTACTGTAATTCATTACTCTCCTTGTTTATTTTCCCATTCCCCTCACAACCTCTTATATGTAATTTTGTATAGCAATGAATTTTATAGTATAGTAATTTTGTATAGGGAAATTGCATGGAAATGAAGGGAGACCCTCATTTCTTTCTTTCAACCCTAAATACCCTGTCTGAAGATTAGGTAAAATCCATTTTTTTCCTTTCATCTGTCAAAGTGAAAATTTAGTGTTTTTAAAACGTGACTTTATAAAAAGTTTAATTAAGAAATCTAGTTTTTAATTGTAAGATCATAGTCAAAGAAAGGACTACTGATGCTTTAACATGAATAATGCTTTTTTTCTATTAAAAATATTTTTATGAAATTTATTTAAATATTAACTTATTTTCATTTTTAATCAATTGCAAGCTATATATTTGTAATTCCAAAAGTTGATCTTTCCTTTAACTTTTGAAGATGTTATTCAGGTAGTTGCAGGTAAGTTGAGTTGATATAATTAAGATTGAGGGCTTTTACAAATGCTTTTCCAAAAGGAAGAGAAAGCCCACATTTGCAAACATCCAGCTTTTCACCTTCAAAGTCAAATAAATGGAGTCTAACGTTTCCCTTCACAGGAGCTCATTACCATGATGCTGTTGGTCAATGTGGATCAGCGATTTTCGGCTGTGCAGGTCCTTGAGCATCCCTGGGTTAATGTAAGTGACTTACTCCCCTCCCTCTATGCATACCTAGCCTTCCTTTGAAAAACTGCTTGCAGATTTCCTAAGGATATTGCCTCCTGTAGTGCTTGGGTTTGTTTCTTCCCCTAAATGAGCCAGACCACTTACATCCTACATTCATTCCCTGAGGGTATCTGATGTGTCCATTTCATTTGATTCCAATAGGACGCCTTTTAACTGGAGAGGGACAGGTGATCCACATCCCCTACCCCACAACCTGCTTTCTATGGTCCAGATTGCAGCTGAATAATCATCAATAAGACAAAGCAGGTTTTCTGAATCAGTCCTACTACTGTGTCCTTCCTTCCAACGTACAAATGACTCCAGGGGGTTTATACACGTACCCAGGAGCACTCCAGGCAGTATTTCTTAAACTTGAGTGTGCTCACAAACCCCATGAGAGATCCTAAAATACAATTACTAGTGCAGCAGTTTGAAGCTCTGCATTTCTCAGAGCTCCAACCTGCTGCTTCTATGTCTGTCCTTTGAGTACAAGAGTTTATAGTGACATTTCTTTAGCTAGTAAAGAATTTTCCAGAACAGAGTCATTCTTTTTTTTTTTCTTTTTTTGACCTTGTATCTCTCTACAACTGATAGATACGATTTGTTTGGACAAATAATAATAGTAGTTTACACAGACTGCTCAACTTCAGGAGTCTGTCAGTCCTGTTTTATGCACCTCATATACATTAACTGTGTTCTTCCCCACAACTTTATAATTTACTAATCTAGCTGCTGTTGTAATCCCTATTAACAGATGGGGACACTCCCTAACTGTCTGCAGATTAGGTAAAATCCATTTTTCCTTTCATTTGTCAAAGTGAAAATTTAGTGTTTTTAAAATGTGACTTTATAAAACGTTTAATTAAGAAATCTGTCTTTAAATTGTAAGATCATAGTCAAAGAAAGGACTACTGATGCTTTAACATGAATAATGCTTTTTTTCTATTAAAACTATTTTTAAGAAATTTATTTAAATATTAACTTATTTTCCTTTTTATCAATTGCAAGCTATATATTGTAATTCCAAAAGTTGATCTTTCCTTTAACTTTTGAAGATGTTATTCCCATTGAAACTGACTGGTTCTTCCTACCAGAAGAGAAGACAGATGACAGATTTGGTTATAGATATGTATATAGACCAAAAGAAATGGGCATTCATAAAATTGTTAGCTCTTTGATATCAATGTTGCCAGGCTACTGCATGAATGATCTGGCAACATAATGTTCTCTTCCTCTGAATTGTCATCTTGGCAGGCAGTCAAGTGGTTTTTTTTTCCAAAGTAACTAATTATGGAGGACAAGCCATGATTGCAAGCACAGTCAAAAGGTGAGGTACCAACATGTGAGGTATCAGGAGCTTGGAATCGTATTCAAGTTCTCCGACTTGGTGGCCCTGGATCTAGGTTTTATGTGTGCATGTGATTCTTCACAATCTGCTGCAAGGTTATATTTATATGACAGGAGAATATAAATGAATATGAATGCATCGAGATTTGCAGCTGAGGCTTACTTTAAGTCTTTTCATAGAGCAGAAAGTTCTAATTGGTGTAAAGATGTACAAAAATATTAATCCCCTCAGTATCTGGGATAGTGGGCTATCACATCCAATAGTACTCACTTGGAGCCTCAGCAAACTTTGCATTATCTTTTCCTGTGAAATGAGAAGGATGCAGTTATTTGAGTATAGCAAAAAGCCAAGGAGATAGGCAGAGCCAATATTGTTGTCCCCATTTTACAGATAAGGACATTGACATTGTGGGAGTGATTTTCTCCAACCATCCAAGCTTGCAATAGAGCCAGAATTTGTTGTCAGGTATTCTCACTGTCCTACCTCTCTCCTCCTTTTGTTAAACATGAAGCACTGGGAATTTTGAATAAGGGCACATTGTGGACATCAGCAATATTGTGGTCATTGTGAATACAAGTTAGCAACCTTTCCATACTAACTTACTCTGTCATGGTGTCTTTCCCTTAGGTGTTCAGGTAAGAAATGCCACAAACTAGCTCCAGGCTCTCTTGAGGACAGCAGTTGATTCTGACAGTCAACATGGACTAATGAAATGCCAAGGTCCACAACTTGTCCAATTGCATATTAGGCCTAGAAAGACTGAGACAGATGACCACAAAAAAATAAACTGGAAAACCTGAACATGAAATGTGGCTTTCAAAAACTCATTATGAGGGCTGGGGTTGTGGTAGAGTGATTGCCCAGCATGTGTGAGGCACTGGGTTTGATCCTCAGCAACCCATACTTCAAAAAAATAAATAAATAAACAAATAAAGTTATAAAAGAAAAAAGGTCAGGTCTTAAAAAAAAATCATCATGAGCCACAGAAGGAAGAGATTAATGGGTGACAAAGAGCCATTTTAGATTCCTAAATACATTTTATTTTTACTGCCTGCCAGACCCGCTCTCAGGAGCAATGTCTGATGCAGCCACAGTTAAGGGCAGTGAGCAGTGCTGGCCTATCCAGCCTCTGTGGGGAGGTTGCCATGGAAGTTTCCTGGAACAATGCCAAAGCTCAGTCCTGCAGGAGGCTGGAAAGGAGATGTCCAGTAGGGTCAGCTCCAGCCAACATGGACATTGGCTGAAAGGTGACTTTGTGAATGTGAGCAAATCTATACATGAGGGGTCTAGAATTCAATTAGAAACAAGAGAAAATGCTTACCTTGACTTCAGGACAAATAGTGCTCTATCAATATTATCCCAACCCAACTAGGGTAGAAAAAGAAGATTAAGAAGACTTCTGGCTCTTACCTTTGAAAACCTAGGTGCTCATTTTCTTAGCATTAACTTTCTGCCTCCTCTACCTGCATTGCACACATGGTCCCATCTTGCTGGCAGTTATCTTCAGTGGCTCCCTCTGGAACTTGGATTTCTGCTATTTTTTTTTTCAAATTTTCCTTACAGATTCCCTAAAAGCACTTTCTAAAATCAAGAGTAATGTTTGAGTAATAATCAGCATGTGACAATAGGTAACAGAGTTGCTGCCCTGCTCAGACTCAAATTCTTCATGCATTCACTAAGTATCTATGTTGGTGCTGGGGCTTCAGAATGTTCTCTCTGGCCCTTTAATAATAAGTAAAGATCCTGTTTGAATGCCACAAGGAGATTTAAAAAAAAAAGATAACCCTTTACATAATTCAACCAGACTACATTCTAAGGGAGAAAAAATATCTGTATTGATTTTAGTAAAACCTTTTGAATGCCTCGTGTAGAAACTGCTTCTTTGCCTTTGGAAAGAAGGCAGTTTCTATGTATACTTTTACATAGCAACTAAATAGAAAACTGCTTATTTTCTTTGTCTCAAAACAATATGCAAGCTTTCACAGACAGCATTTAGCATTTGTTGAGGTCTCTGAGTGCAACACAGGAATGACCAGGCCATCAAAATAAATAAATTAGGGATTTAAAAGGATATCCATTTAACGAGATGTTTTGCATTTGGCAATCAAATTATATCTGATCACCACAAAGTATACTCCCTAAGGGGGAGGGAGGTAATAATAATTATGTGAACCCTAAGGAGGTCGGCAGAGAGCTCTTCCTGCGCTCTCATTAGTTCTAATTTTCTCTATTGCTTATACGATGACCTTTCCACCTGGAACACTTGGAATTGAAAAGGCAGTTCTCTTATGAAACAGAAAATAGAGCATAAGGGAAATAGAACTTTAAAAATTAAGTCAGCAAAAGTCACTTGTTTTAGCCTCATTCCAGGAGCTTCCTCTGAGCTCGCATTTATTTTTAACACACTCTGGGTGCAAACCCCACCCTGCTTCTTGGTATCCTTGGCCTCAAAGGGTCATGAGCATGGCCTCTCGGTGGATGGTTCTGGTGAGCCCACTGAATGAATGATATCACCAACATGCAGCCAAGTGCATAGGAAAGGGATGGAGACTTCCAGAAGGAGCTTGAATACCTGTGTGACCTGGGGCAAGTTGTTTCTTTCCTTCAAACCTGTTTTCCTGCCTGTGGAATGGGGAAAATAGGATCAACTTCTCTGCTTCTAAAGAGGATAGAAAGAGGATCATATACTTAAAGGGCCAGAGAGGACATTCTGAAGCCCCAGCACCAACATAGATACTTAGTTGAATGCATGAAGAATTTGAGTCTGAGCAGGGCAGCAACTCTGTTACCTATTGTCACATGTGAAGAAATGCAAATTGTCATCAGTATTGGCCTAAGAGTAGCTTGATTAAGGAGGAGAGCCCCTCACTCAAAAAAAAATTATCCTCTGCTTGAACGCCATAAGCTCCATGTAGGTTATATGGACATTATCAGCTTTTCTTTCTCCTGACAACTTATCTAATATAGTTATGATATCCCAACAGGCATTGTCCCAGCTGAGTTTACTAACCTTATTACACATCTAGTGGAGAACCATAGGATTTAGGCACATATAAGAGTGAAATAGGCAATGATATATCTAGATCATTCCATGAATTAGGGTGAAGGTTGAGTCACTTGCCCCTGATGAAGCTTTTTTGGAAAGAAAATGTAGGTTGGGCTGGGCACAGTGGTGCACACCTGTAATCCCAGTGGCTCGGGAGGCTGAGGCAGTAGGATCTCAAGTTCAAAGCCAGCCTTAGCAAAAGCGAGGCGATAAGCAATTCAGTGAGACCCTGTCTCTAAATTAAATACAAAATAGGACTGGGGATATGGCTCAGTGGTTGAGTGTCCCTAAGTTCAATCTCCAGTACCAAGAAAGAAAAAAATGTAGGTTGGTGATAAATCTACAAACCGAATAGACATTGCCAAAACAAAATTTCTTCTTTGTAATAAGGATCAAATTATCATTGTTATCATATTTCAGATGTTTTGCTTTGGTTGCATTTTTGTTTTCAGAATACTAACTTGCCTTTGCCTGTTTTATTCTCCTAATCCTCTGGGTTGCTATAATTCTAGGAGTCTCTTTAACCTCAAATTATTTTCCTTATCTTGCCAATGAGAAAACTGAGGCACAAAGGAGTTT